TCTCCTGTCTCCGTCAGGGGGGGATGGTGTCCCTGGTCATCAAGGAGACTTACTTGCTTCGCTGCAGCAGCAGCAATTCCTTTCTCTCTTATCTAGCAGCGGCATTAACACAGGAGACTGTATCCTCAGCAGCAGCAGCAGCAGCAGCAGCAGCACAGAGGGGGCTATAGAAGGACTTGAATGCCCAGCAACATTTGCTCAATCTATCTTTGCTTTTATTGATTCACGAGTAAAAGTTGCTGCTGTCTCTGTTCTTACATTATTGTGTCTCCTATGGAAGCAGCAGGAGCTGCTGCAGCAGCAGCAGCAACAGCAACAGCAGCAGCAGCAGCTGATGCTGCAGCAAAGACAGCGCAAACTCGTCGCTCTGTCCCAAGGTGCGCAGCAACCAATTAATCAGCTAGCACCATGGGATGGCATCTGCAGCAGCAGCAGCAGCAGCAGCAGCAGATGGTACAGCAGCAGCGCAGCACTGTGTCTTGCTGCTGCACTCGCGTATGAGCCCGAAGATCTGCAGCTACTCTTCCGTGACAATCTTAACCAGCAGCAGCTGCAGCAGCAGGCAGATGCGGGGAAAGGGAGCAGCAGCAGCAGCAGCAGCAGGAGATGGATTAGGCGGCTGTATACGGACAGACTAGTAGGTAGGCTGCTGCGTTATTTATTTGGTAAGGAGCAGCAGCTGCTAGAGTACAGGCTGCTGCTGCTGCAGCTCGTGCTGCTGTCGCTGCATACGCAGCAGCAGCTGCTGCTAACAGGGGAAGAATCTGCCTTTGCTGCTACAGTGCAGTTCTCGCAGCAAGTCCTCTTGGATGTGCTGCAGCAGCAGCAGCAAGAGCAGCAGCAGCAGAAACTGCAGCAGCAGCAGCAGCAACAGCAGCCGGGTCTTCTGTTGGGACAGCTGAAGATTATTAGATTGGCGCTGCTGCTGCTGCAGCAGATTACCTGCGTGTACAGACCACGAGCAGCACTGCAGCAACTGCGGCAGCAGAGCAGCCACACTGGGTTGGAGGGGCTTAATAGCAGCAGCAGCAGCAGCAGCGGAGCAGCAGGAGCAGCAGAAGCAACAGGTACAGCAGCAGAAACTCCTAGTGGCCCTGGTGGATGGGTCTTGCTGCTGCAGATAGGGCAGCTGCTGCTGCGCCAATGGCAGCAAATGTCTTGGAGCCGCAGCAGGAGTTGGCTTGCTGCAGCAGCAAATGAATTAAAAAGCTGCTGCTCTGTGCAGCAGCTGCTGCTGCGTAGCCAACAAGATGGTGGATTGTGGCCTCTACAGATGCTGCTGCAGCAGCAGCAGCAGCAGCAAGGTGCCTTGCATGCAAGGCGAATGCAACCCCTCAGTGCAGCTGTTGCATGCAGCAGCAGACTCTTGTCTGCTGCTGCAGCAGATCTACCACTCTATGCACGTTGCGACGGCCGCAGCAGCAGCAGCAGTGGCGTCAGCCGAAGCAACAGCAGCAACAGCAGCAATAACGAGGAACAGCAGCAGCAAGAAGACACGGATGATGAGGATGCATGCGCGCAGCTGCTTGCTGCTGTAGAGATCTGTGGGGCCCTGCAGTCTATTTGCTGCATTGTTACTTCGCAGCTGCGCTTCTTACCATCAGCTCTGCGCGACAGCAAAGGCACCAGCAGCAGCAAGTGCAGCAGCAGCAGCAGCAGCAGCAGCAGCAGCAGCAGACATTATGGCGAGCTAGCTGACTACCAAGCATTCTTTGATTGCTTAGAGTTCCTATCATCTAATAGAGACCTCCTTGAGGCTCTTCTTCCGCTGCAGCAGCAGCAGCAGCAGGAGCTGCAGCAGCTGCAGCAGATGCAGCAGCTGCTGCAGCAGCAGGAAGACGTAAACCCTGGATTGGTCCCCTTAAAGACAGCAACAGAGTGTTGGTTAGGTTTGCTGCAGGCAGCACCTCCGGTGTATCAGCAGCTAGACGACTCTGCAGCAATAGCAGCAGCAGCAGCAGCAGCAGGAGGTGAATCTTGTGCCAGCATTATCAACAGCTACAGCAACAGCAGCAGCAGCAGCAGCGAGCAGCAGCAGGAGTCAGACGAAGGTTTGCTGCTGCCTAAGGATGTAGAGAGAGCAAGTATATGCCTAGCAGGAAGGAGACAGTTAGGTGTCTCCTTTGCTGTAGGCGGGAGACAGTTGCTGTTCTTATCCCTGCATTGCTGCCTGCTGCAGGAGAGGCTGCTGCGTGCACGCCTAGGTGCAGCAGCAACAATGCAGCAGCAGCAGCAGCAGCAGCCGCTGCTGCTGCAGTCTGTTGGTATACCATGGATGCTAGCAGGTGTCTCCTCTAGGGCATCTGTTGGGCTGTCTCTATCCGTGGCGCAGCAGCAGCTGCTGCAGGTGTATACGCAGCTCTTCCTTGCATGCAGAGATGCAGCAGTATATCCCTTATATATACCAAGACCAATAAGCAGCAGCAGCAGCAGCAGCAGCGGAGGTACGGATGCCTCCCCTGCGCCTAATAGGCCACCTTTCTCAGGAATGCTGCTGCCGCTGCTGTCTCTTATTGCTGCTGTCCCTGCAGCAAGACAAGATCTGCTGCTGCAGCGCGAGGGATTCTTTAAGGTTGCTGCTTTTGCTGCGCAGCAGCTGCTGTGTGCTAGCTGGTGTACAGATATCTGCGCAAGCAAGAAGTTGCCACCATGCAGTAGCAGCGGCAGCAGCAGCAGCAGCACTAGCGCAGCAGCAGCAGCAGCATTGCAGCAGCAAAAGGCACATGTGTCTCTTGATCTGCTGCTAGGCCCTGGAGGTGTCACCTCCCTGCCCCACACAGTACAGCCCGCGCTGCTGCTACCGCAGCAGCAGCAGCAGCATCCACCTTTAACACCAGCAGCAGCAGCAGCAGAGTTGCTGCAGCAACCAGTTGTTGATGGCGTAGTATCCATCCCCAGTAGGGACGTGCTGCGATATCTTAGCTGCTCCACTGCAGCAGCAGACAAACAGCAGCAGCAGCAGCAGCAGCAGCAGCAGCAGCAGCAGCAGCAGCAACAACCCGCAGACAGTTTGCTGTTTGCAGCCCTTAATAGCGCTCTTGCAGTAATAGCTCTTGTCCATCAGGCGTTGCTGACTGGGGCAAAGCAAGAGCAGAAGCAGCAACTGCAGCAGCAGCAACAACAATCGCTGCTGCAGCTGGGCATTGACTTAGGGCGAATGCAGCCACAGGAGCTGCTGCGTGTTGCTGCTGCTGCTGCTGATTTCTTTGCTGTTGGTTCTGGTGTATGGGTACACTTAGCATTGCATACTCATCATGAGCGTGAGCAGCAGCAGCAGCAGCAATCGTTGCTGCAGCAGCAGCAGCAGGGAGGCCCCCGATCCAAGCAGCAGCGGCAGGAAGCAGACCTGCTAACCTGGCAGCAATGGAGGGGCACCCTAGCAGAGCTTCTATGCAACTTGCTGCAGTGTGTGCAGCGCAGCAGGATGCTGACATCACGAGCAGCAGCAGCAGCAACAGCAGCAGGAGCAGCAGCAGGGGCATTCTCCAGTATAACGGAGCAGCAAGCAGCAGATATCTTTAGGGGGGAGCAGCGGCTCAGTGCTGCGCTGCTGTCTGCTGCTAACGCATTGCTGCTAAATGCAAAGGGAGCAGCGCTGCTGCTGCAGCGGCAAAGGTCGTTTGCTGCTGATGGGCTGCACCTGCCGCTGCAGCAGCAGCAGCAGCAGCACGGCGGCCTGTCTGTACACCAGAGACCCGCGTCTCTTGTGCCCCCATCTCCGCTCTCCGTATCAGGAGCCACAACACCAACAGCAGCAGCAACAGCAGCAGCGGCGGCAGCAGCTGCAGCAGCAGAGGCAGCCCGACCCGAAGCACTTGTTGCTGTCTCCGAAGCAGCACAGCAGCAAGTTGCTGCTGCTCTGCATGCAGCATTAGCAGCTGTGCTGCAGCGCAGCGCAGCAAATGCTTCAGGACTTCCTCCACGTAGCTCGTTGTACGGCCTGAACAGCAGCAGCAGCAGCAGCCTAACTGCTGCCTCAGCAGCAGCAGAAGCAGCGGAGGCGGAGGAGACGCCACTGTCTTTCCTGCTGCAGTTGGGTCGTGATGCAGCAGCAGCAACAACAGCAGCAGCAGCAGCAGCAACAGCAGCAGCAGGAAGCCATGATGAGTATGAGTGCTGCCAAGCCATTAGTACGCAGTGTCTCTTCTTAGGTCATCTTCTTAGCAGCAACTGCTGTCTCCCTAGGAGCAGCGTAGAGTACTGCAGCAGCAGCAGCAGCAGCAGCAGTGCAGCAGCAGCAGCAGCAGCAGGTAGGGTACTTCCCATTGCTGAGCTGCTGCTGATTGAAGGATTCTTTCAGCGTTTGCTGCTGCAGCAGCCGCTGGTGTCTCTTGTCTCCTTCTCTGGTGTCTCCGGAGACCCAGCAGCAGCAGCAGCAGCAAGACCTCTTCGTTCTCCTTATGATATAGCTTGTGCGTCTGCAGCAGCAGCAGCAGCAGCAACAGGAGAAGGAACAGCAGCAGCAACTCTTATGCGTCGTTCCTCAGCACATATAGCATATTGCCATGTGCTGCAGTTGCTGCAGCAAGTATTACAATCCCTCCACCTCCAGCAACAGCAGCAACAGCAGCATCAGCAGCAACAGCAGCAGCAGCAGCATGAGGAATCAATAAGATCTGCATGCAGCTTGTTGCGCTTGCTGCTGCCTCGTCTCCGTTATATAAGCAATTTGTCTCCTCCTTTTGTCTCCTTAGCAGCAGCAGAGGAGACATTTCTTTATATTAATATCATGAAATTCTTACCATCATGGCATCTAACACCAATAGATCTAAGGGTAAATGCTGCTGCTGCTGCTGTTGCTGCTGCTGCTGCTATTGGTGCTGCTGTTGGTGCTGCTATTGTTGTTGTTGCTGCTATTCCTGCTGCTGTTGCTGCTGTTACTGTTGCTGGTGATGATCATGGTGATGGTGATTATGTCATAGATGTCTGGTTAGTTAGGTAGAGGCATTGCAATATATGCGTCTCTTTGCTGCTGCTGCTGCTGCTGCTGCTGCTGCTGCTGCTGCATGGGGTGGTGCTGTCTGTTTGTGTCTCCTGTTGCTGTCCTCTTCCTGCAGCCTGTACTTGCTGCTTGGCTAACAGCGGGGCGCGTGCTGCTGCAGCAAAGCACAAGAGCATTAGAGGGGGCGCTCCTTGCATGCATGCAGCCGCTATCAGCAGCAAGCCTATTGGAGTGCTGCAGCGGGCAGCAGCAGCAGGGATCCTTGGAACGTCTGCTGCAGCAGCAAAAACAAAACTGTTCTTGTGCAGCAGATCCAGCAAACAGCAGCAACCCAGCAGCAGCTTGCTGCAATTGCTGCAGCAGAATCAGCGGCGCTGCTGCTGCTAGCTGCCGCTCGGGCTTACCGTCTGTCTTGCAGCAGGTATGAAGGAGACACAACAAAACAGCAGCAGCAGCAACAACAGCAACAGCAACAGCAACAGCAACAGCAACAGCAACAGCAGCAGCAACAGGTGCCGCATATAAACGTATAATTGTGTTTGTTTGTTTGTTTGCTGCAGAGGGGACTGGTGCTGCTGCTGCAGATAGTTAATGGTATTGTGTCTGCTGTACAGACACTGCAGCTTGTGCTGCCTATATCTCATCAGCTGCCTCCTCCCCCTTCGCTGCAGTTGCCGCTGCAGGGCAGCAGCAGCAGCAGCAGCAACATGAGGACAGCAGTTAGTGTGTCTGCAGAGCAGTACATGCAGCTGCTGGGGAATGACACGGCAGGAGCGTTGGCTGTCGCGCGTCGTTTGCTGCAGCAGCAGGAGCAGCAGCAGCAGAAGCAGGAGCAGCAGAGGGAGCAGCAGGATGCATTTGCTGCACGGCATCAGGGATTTGGAGGAGACAGATGGTCAGCAGCAGGAGCAGCAGCAGCAGCAGCAGCAGAAGGAAGAGGAGACAGCAGCTTTATTATGGCTCCTCGCCCCTTCTCCTCTGGGTTGCTAAATGGAGGTCTCCTTCATGCTGCAGCACCAGGTGCAGCAGCTGCTGCTGATGATGCTGCTGCTTCTGCTGCTGCTGCACCTCAGCTCGAAGATGCCATGATGACGGGACTCTCACCAGAATGGGTAAGCAGCAGCAGCAGCAGCAGCAGCAGCAGCAGCAGGAAGACAGCAGCAGCAAAGAGAAACAGAGACACGAGCAGCAGCATGCAAGAGACATGACATCTTTATGTTTCTTCTTCTGCTGCTGCTGTTTGCTGCTGCGCTTGCTGCAGTTTGGATGTTTGCTGCAGGCAGTGACTAGTGCTGCCTCCGTGCTGCAGCGAGCTCGCGATTTAGGCCCTCAGCTAGGGACAAGAGTTTGCTGCGTAAGTCAGCAGCAGCAGCAGCAACAGCAGCAGCAACAGCAGAAACAGCAACCACAGAAGCAACGACAGCAGCAGCAGCAACAGCAGCAACTGTATGCTGTGGTGTTGGTTTGCTGCAGGTGGTGACTGCAGCAGGGCAGCGGCTGCTGCCTCTGTCTTTGCTGCTGCAGCCAGAGGGGCAGCTGCTGCAGCTGCAAGAGGAGACACCAACGCAGCAAGAGCAGACACCAAGAAGAAGCAGCGTAGCGTAAGAATATACACAGATATATATGATTTGCTGCTTTGCTGTTGCTGCTGCTGTGCTGCTACTGCTCTGCTGCAGCATTGCTGCTGAATAGAGTGTCTCCTTCTTGTGGTGTCTCTGCAGCGGCGCTCCTTCTTCTGTTGTCTCTGTTGCTGGTCTGTCTCTCTCCCAAGGAGCAGCAACAAATGTTTACTTAAGGCAGCGGGTATGCTTCTTGCTGCTGCTGTTGCTGCTGCTGCTGTTGTTGCTGCTGGCCTTGCTGCTTATACAGCAGCAGAAGAGTCGTTTGTCTTTTGTCTTCTTTGCTGCTACACCGGTGGTTTATTTGCTGTTGCTGCTGCTGCTGCTGCTGCTGCTGCTGCTGCTGCTGCTGCTGCAGGGTGTGAGCCCATCATTGAGACGTAGAGGACAAGCAGCAACTGCTGTGTACGGAAGGCTGCGGCTGCGGCGGAACCCTTGCTGCTGTTGCTGCTGCAGCAGCAGCATGCAGAAGGGTGCTGCAGCAGCAACAGGAGCAGCAGGAGACGGCGGATTTTGTGCTGGATATCAGGGCAGCAACAGTGGCTGTGCTGCTGCTGCTGCTGCTGTTGCAGCAGCAGCAGCAGAGGAGCAGCACCGCTGCTGCAGCGATAGAGAATTAGATGGTTTGCTACCCCCTCTTATTACCTTAGAGGGATTGCAGCAGCTACTAGACATGGCACTGCAGCGAACAGCTACCTTAGGTGCATCTATAATTAACAGGTAGGAGACTGCAGCAGCAGCAGGAGACAAGTAGCAGCACCAGCACCAGCAACAGCAGCAGCAGCAGCAGCAGCAGCATGTGTATATATTATATGTATGTTGTTGTGCTGCTGTGCAGTCTTGTTGGGGGCAATCTGCTGCTGAATTACGAGGAGACAGCTCGTCAGTTTGTTGCGCTGCTGGCTCGCTTATCTCGTCAGCAGCAGCAGCAGCAGCACAAGCATAAGCTGCAGCAGCAGCAAAGGAGACATGCAGCAAGCAGCAGCACAGGTCCCCTCTCCGTTGTGCTGCAACAATTCCCCAGCAAAGGAGACAGCGTCTTAGGGGGAGACACAAGTCCCCACCACTCGCAGCAGCAGCAGCAGCAGCAGCAGCTGCATCTGCAGCACGAGCGGAGACGTTCAAGTCTTGGGGCAGCAACTCCTACAGCATCAGGAGACACAGACCCCAGCAGCAGCAGCAGCAGCAGCAGCACGGCATTCTTTGCTGCACTTCTTGATTATAGCAGGAGACGTCTTGCTGCTTATGAACAAATCATACAAAGTATTGGCCCTTATACCCCTCTTGTCCTGCATAACTCCCTTAAATAAGACTTTTTGCTGCTGCTGCTGCTGCTGCTGCTGCTGCTGCTGCTGCTGCTGCAAGTGCAGCAACAGCAACAGCAGGAGCAGCTTTATGCAGTGGAGGGAGGGAGCAAATGTGCTGCTGGTCCTGATGCTGCTTGCAGCATAAGGGAGCTGAGGTGCTGCTGCAGCGGTTGCTGCGTGCGCCAGCAGCAGTTATTCTGTTGCTGTTGTTGCTGCTGTTGCAGCAGCAGCAGCAGCAGCAGCAAGTTTGCTTCTAACAAGCAAGCAACTCGTTACTTTTCTCATGGCATTTAATATATTTAGTTTTGTTTTCCTTTTTACCTGCAGATACACCGCTGCTGCTGCTGCTGCTGCTGCTGCTGCTTGCTGCTTTGTCCCTGTACGTATACAGCACTGTAGCACAGTGCTGGCGTTGCTGCTACTGCTTGTTGCTTGCTGGCTAGCTCGCTAGCAAGCCAGCTAGCCAGCTACGTAGGGGTGCATGCAGGCATATATCTGTTACTGCTGCTGTATACACTTCTGTCTCCTCCTGGTGTACCCTTTCTTCTACTGTCTCCTCATCTGCTGCCAGCTGCTCTATACCTGCTGCTGCTGCTGCGGCTGCTGCAGCTGCTGCTGCAGCGGCTGCTGCTTCACGTTTACGCTAAACTGTTTCCTTTTCTATGTGTCCCCTCTTATGTAATGTACCTCTACAGCAGCAACATAATAAGCAGCAACTGTATTAATAACAGGTACAACAGCAGCAGCAGCAGCAGCAGCAGCAGCAACAGCAGCAGCAGCAACAGCAGCAGCAGAGAGGCAATGCTTATGTTGAATAATTGATGCTTTCGTGCTGCATGCGTCTTAAGAGAAAATGTAAAACCCTCTTAGCGCAGCAGCCACATAAGCCATGCAGCAGCAGCAGCAAGTGCTGCATCTGCTGCTGCTGCAGCTGCTGTTGCTGCCGCTGCCGCGCTGCTGCTGCGCTGCTGCTACTACTGTGCTGTGCTGTGTTATGCTGCTGTTGCTGCTGCTGCTGCTGCTGCTGTTGCTGCTGCTGCTGCTGCTTAAGCAAGAAGTGCGCCGAATGTGCTCGACTCTGCACGTCTGTTAATGCTGCCACTGGCATTGCTGCTGTTGCTGCTGTTGCTGCTGCTGTTGTTGTTGGTGCTGCTGCTGCTGCTGCTGCTGCTGCTAGGAGCTGTACCCGACGGAGACAGGGCCCATCGCATAGGGCTATGCAGCAAGAAGTAAGGGAACCAACCCTTCCTAATAAAAAAAAAAGAGGAGACACATAAAAAGGAGACAAAAAAGGAGACAATAAAAGGAGACACACAAAAAGGAGACAGATATAAAAGGAGACAGATATAAAAGAAGACAGTAAAGGAGACACAAAAGGAGACACATACCTCATATACACAGAAAAAACAGCACACAGCCACATGCAGCAGCAGCAATAGCAGCAGCAGCAGCAACAGCAGCAGCAGCAACAGCAGCAGCAACAGCACCTGTGGGGTTGACCGTGTATGCTACCGAAGAGCCATCCGCTCTTATGGTGTACATACACCTCAACACTCTCTCCTCTGTGGCAGCGCAGCAGTAAGGGGGGAACAGCAGCAGCAGTTGCTGCTGCTGCTGCTGCACCTCCTCCTTCGCCTGTGCTGCTGCTGCTGTTGTTGCTGCTGCTCCTTCCTATGCTGCCTGGCCTATCGTTTAATACACAAGGAGGCGCGCATATAGAAGCGCCTCCGTAGCAAACCATCTCCTGCAGCAGCAGCTGCTGCTGCTGCTGTGGTTGCTGCTGCTGCTGCTGTGGTTGCTGCTGCTGCTGAAGACCAGGAGACAGCTCTCCTGCCCAGCACCACTGCAGCCTACAGATTTGAACATCGGAGGGGACTACGCGCAATATAGCATACACTGGCTGTGCCTGCTGCAGCTGCTGCTGCTGCTGTTGCTGCAGTTGCTGCAGTTGCTGCTGCTGACCACCAAACTGCCAACAGTAGCAACCGTCTCCCCGCAGCAAATTCGCGCATGCAGCAACACCTGCTGCTGCTGCTGCTGCTGCTGCTGTATCAGCTTGAGGATGTCCTCCTGGATATTGACAAACGCTGGAGAAAGATCCTCGCTGCTGCTGCTGCAGCTGCTGCTGCTGCGGCATCCCCGGAGAGTCTGCTGCGCTAGGTGGAGCCGAGGGGACCCCAGCAATGGCCTCCAGCATTGCAGCAGATGGGCAAGAAGCAGCAGCAGCAGCAGCTGCTGCTGCTGCTCCTGTCTCATTGCCGCTGCCGCCAAAGGGTTTTGCTGCAGGGTACCATGGGCCGCAGCTGCTGCTGCTGCTGCTGCTGCTGCTGGTAGTGTTGCCGCTGCTGCTGCGCTGCTGCTGCATGGCCCACATTCGCTGGGCATCGGCCGGATGCTCCCTCATGAACTGTAGGTAACTGTCCGGCTGCTGCTCCTCAAGCTGCTGCTGCTGCTGCTGCTGTTGTTGTTGTTGTTGCTGCTGCTGCTGCTGCTGCTGCTGCAGCGACAAGGCAGCAAGCTGCTGCGGCCCTCCTAAGATACAAGAAGCAATATCAGGAAGGCCTAAGCCACCCACACCATGGAGTGCCTCGTTGCTGTCTTCACTACCCCCTGCTGCTGCTGCTGCTGCTGCTGCTGCCCTGTGTGCTGCTGCCCCTGTAGTCCCTGCTGCTGCAGACCCAGATGGAACCGTTACTGCTGTGCGTCCTCCACCTCCTGGTGCTGCTGTAGTTGCTCCCATAGACGGTGTTCCTCCTGCTGCTGCTGTTGCTGCTGCTGCTGCTGCTGCTGCAAGCTGCCCACGAAGGGACTCCGGCAAGGAAGCTGCAGTAAGAACAGGTGCAGCAGATGTTAGAACATCGGTCGACTGCTGCTTCTGCTGCTGCTGCTGCAGTTGCTGCTGCGCAGGGTGGTAGTACGGCGGCTGCCATTGCTGCTGCTGCAGTAGCATCAGCAGCTGCTGCTGCTGTTGCTGCTGCTGCTGCCCAGTTGGCCAATTATTAGCAGGGGACTCCCTGAAGTCGCAGGGGCCTGGCATGTGTGGGGCGCCGCGCATGCCAGCTGCTGCTGCTGCTGCTGCAGCAGCAGCTGCTGCTGCTGCTGCGCTCCTTGGTGTTGCCCCTACAGAAGCAGCGTTGTAGTAATCATCTCTTGCACCTGCTGCTGTTGCTGCTGCTGCTGCTGCTGAGGGAAATGCGAATGAGAGCGCAGAATTGTTGCTGCTGCTGCTGCTGCTGTTGCTGCCCCCGCGGTTAGCGCTAGGGCGCCTATTCGCGCACTGCTGGTAATTGCTGCTGCTGCTGCTGCTGTCGCTGCTGCTAACAGCAGACCCAATGGGGAGTGGGCCCCCCACAGGAGCCCAGTTGCTGCTGTTGCTGCTGCTGCTGTTGCTGCTGCTGCTCACGTCGCCGCTGCCGCCAAATGAGAACATACGGCGGTTCCTGCTGCTGACGTTAAGCGCTGCTGCTGCTGCTGCTGCTGCTGCAGCTGCTGCTGCTGTTGGATCGGAAGAGGACGCGGCTCTTTCCACAGAGTAGGTCGGCGAGTGCTGCTGTTGCTGTTGCTGCTGCTGCAGCTGCTGCTGCAGTTGCTGCTGCTGTACGAATGCAGCAACTGCTAGCCTGCCGCTGTATGCTTGTCTGTCTCTCTCTAAGTTCCTATCCGGGTACATTGTGCCATTGCTGCTCGTGCTGCTGGTGCTGCTGCTGTTGTTGCTGCTGTTGCTGCTGCTGCTGCTGTTGCTTCTGTTCAAAGCCAACTGCGGATGGACCAGGTTATGGCCGTCGGAATCCCTGCTGCTGCTGTCTGCACCTGCTGCTGCTGCTACTGATGCTGCTGCTGTTCCTGCTGCTCCAGGTGTTCCTGCTGCTGCTGCTGCTGCAGCTGCAGCAGCTGCCGCTGCTGCCCTCCTGGATGCGTTGCATGGGGATGATGTAGCCGTGCTGCAGCGCGAAACCGGCGGGGGCTGCGGCGCTTCCTGCTGCTGTTGCTGCTGCTGCTGTTGCTGCTGTTGCTGCTGCTGTGAAATATCAATCGTACGTGGTGAGAGTTTAGGGGCAGCAGCAGCAGCAGCAGCAGCTGCTGCTGCTGCTACTGCTGCCTTCTGCATATTTGCTGCAGCGAACCGGTCGAAGAGACCCCCTAAGGCAACATCGCTGCTGCTGCCTAGCCTTCGTCCCTGGTTCTGCTGCAGCTCCTCCCGTGCCTCGTGCTGCTGTGCCTGCAGCTGCTGCAGCTTTATTTGCTGCTGCAGTTGCAACTGCTGCTGCTGAGTACGAGCATCCGCGCCTCTGCATGCAGAGAGGAAGGAGAAAGCAGCAGCAGCTGCTGCTGGTGGAAACCCTTCTGCTGCTGCTGCTGGTATGTTGAAGGGCCCTGTCAGATGTTGCTGCTGCTGCAGTTGCTGCTGCTGCTGCTGCAATTGCTGCTGCAGCTGTTGTTGTTGTTGAAGCTGGCGCTGTTGCTGTTGCTGCTGCAACTGTTGTTGTTGTTGCAACAACTGCTGCTGCTGCTGCTGTTGCTGTTGTAGACCGCTGCAGCTTATCCCGTTGCCGCTGTTGCTGCTGTTGCTGCTGCTGCTGCTGCGGCTGCCACTCTCCGGGCTGCTGCTGCTGCTCTCGCTAGAGAAGCTGTCAATGCTGCGGCGTCTGCCGCTGTTGCTGCAGGGGTCTTCTGCGCAGGTGCTGCTATCGCTAAGGCGGCAGCTGCTGTTGCCGCAGCAGGCTGCTGCAGCCTGCTGCTGCTGCTGCTGCTGCAGCAACACCGCATGCAGCTTCCTGTCAGACGGATCCCCAGATGCAGACATGCTGCTACCAGCCCAGTGAGAAGGAACAGCAGCAGCAGCAGCTGCTGCTGCTGCTGGAGGAGGAAATGATCCAATCATATGGGAGCTGCTGCTGTTCCTGCTGTTGCCTTGCTGCTGCTGCTGCTGCTGCTGCTGCTGCTGCTTTGCTGCAGCAGATTGCTCGTGCGATCCGTCAATCTTAAATTGTGCCTAAAAAACAAACGCAGCAAACCAGCAGCAAAAGTAGCAAATACTGCAGCAGCAGCAGCAGCTGCTGCTGCTGCTGCAATTGCTGCAGAAGCAAACATGGATAGGGTTTACAGCTGCTGCTACAGCTGCTGCTGCTGCTGCTGCTGCTGACATACCTGCGCCGCCTGGTAGCTTCCTGCAGCAGCAGCAGCTGCTGCTGCTGTATGTGCTTCCTCTGCAGCACAGCCACCGTCTCCTACTGTCCAACTTGCTGCGGACGCAGCAGACACAACAGCAGCAGGAAGCCAACATGGCGCAGCAGCAGCAACGGCAGGAGCAGCAGCAGCAGCAAGAGACGATGGGCACCCGCTAGTTGCTGCTGCAGGCAACTGACTTCCTGTGGCGTCTCTTTGAGCCTCACCTGCTGCTGCATGCGCAGCACCGCCCCGTGCTGCTGCAGTTGCTGCTGCAGCATCCGCAGCAGCAGCAGGAGCTGCTGCACCGTCAGCAGGTCCACAGCGGTGCGCTGCAGCAACGACACAGAGCAGCAGCAGCAGCAGCAGGATATGCAGCACCAAAAGCAGCAAAAAGAACCCAGCAAAAGGCAGCAGCAAGAAAAAGGCAACGCAGCAACAGGAAGTGCTGCTACTACTACTACTACTGCTGCTGTTGTTGCTGCTGCTCCTGATGCATCTGTTGCTGCTGCTGCTGCTGTTTGTTGTGCAGCAAAAAAAGTGCTTTGTGCTAACCTAGAGAAGAACTGTGCATTATCTCCACACGTTGCGCTTCCTGTTGCTGCTGCTGCTGGTGCTGCAGTTGCTGCTGCTGTTGCTGCTGTTGTTGCTGCTGTTGCTGAATCGGCTGCATATCGCGCGGCTGGATGAAGTGCTGGCTCTGCTGCGGTGCATGCAACAGCTGCTGCTGCTCCTGCTGCTGCTCCGTCCAATGTAAGAGGCCAGCCGCAGCGCTCCTATGGCTGCTGCTGCTGCCGCTGCTACTGCCGCTGCTGCTGTCTGAGATGCTAAGCTGCCGGTGCAGCAGCTGCTGCTGCTGCTGCTACCGCCGCTGCGACCGGAGGCCTCAGGCTCCGTTGCCTCTAAGCAACACTGTTGCTGCTGCAGCAACGAACCGAGTTGCTGCTAATGCTGCAGTTGGCCTGCAGCAAGTCGCCCCGCAGTGCTGCAGCAGCAGCAGCAGCAGCAGCAGCAGATGAAGTGTATTATCTTTTCGACTTCTCCCCATACAAGAAGAAATGCTGCTGCTGCTGCTGGTGCTGCTGCTGCTGCGCTGGTGCAGCAGCGTCAGCAGGCCAGCGACTGGGACGGCCCGGCCCCCCGTGGCAGGTAGGAAGCTCCTCCCGCGGCTGCTGCTGCTGCTGCTGCAGGGCAACTGCAGCAATAATTCCGGTTGCTGCAGCAACCACACAACAGGAATCGCTGCTGCTGCTGCTGCAACGGCTGCAGCAGCAGCAGCGGTTGAGGTGATTAGGCAAAGATAGAAAGAGTGATCCGACACGGCGTACGGGTCCTGCTGCAGTTGCTGCTGCTGCTGCTGCTGTTGCTGCTGCTGCAAGCACCTCTCCTTTCAAGATGCATGCACAAGACAGAATAAACACTGTTAGCACACAGGAGAAGCCTATGTGGAGTTGCAGAACAGCAGCGGCAGCGGCACAGCAGCAGCAGCAGCGCAGCGGCTGCTGCTGCAGCAGTAGATGGGAGCAGCAAAGCAAAGGAGTTGTTGTAATAATTAATTATAATTAATTTTTATTATTAATTGCACCAGGAAATGTTGTTGCATGCAGCGGGTGTACGAGCAGCAATTATAGCAGCACGAGCAGCAGCAGTAGCAGCAACAGCAACAGCAGCAGCAGCAGCAGCAGCAGCAACTCGAAGTCGAGGCTCCTGCTGCTGCTGCTGCTAAGGGAACGATCCGTACTATTGGGTGTTAGTGCCGATTGCTGCTGTTAGATTATATATATTAACAATTAATTAAATAATATTATTTCTTATATATATTAATTATTCCTGCTGCTGCTGCTGCAGCAACAGCAGCAATAGCAGCAGCAGCAGCAGCAGCTACAGGGGGGTTCGGGGTTGCTGCTCCGGGAGCGTTAAGGCTTTCCTCTTACATTGCTACTAATTACTTATTTATATTAATATT